TGGGCCACTTTTAAAAAGCAGCTTAAAACTCCCTTTTTGCATCTCTCTTTTTTTTTTCTTTTTTTAGGCTAGTTCGATGCCAAAACAATTAGCGCTCATGTGAGTAATGTTCTTGCTTACCACTGTTTTAAACAGTGGTCTCAAATTGCAAGAAAACAGTGCAATGGTCTTGGTTCTGTGCACTAGTCTGTTTTTGTGGTTTTCCTTTTTTCATTAATTTTAGGATAGTATTTTCTCTGTTCTCTAAATCTTCTACATAATTATTCTGCTTTTTCTTTACGTTCACATTACCTTTTCTTTACTTGGACATGGCGCTTATACCTTGTTCATTTGCGCCTTATAAATCGACCTATTATTATTATTATTATTAAAGTGACAATGTTACTCAGGTGAGTTTATTTATACTCACGTGAGTATAACATTGACACTTTACTCACCTGTGTGTAACTAACGTGACAATGTTATACTCAGGTGAGTATAGCATTAATAATAAATTTAAATAATATAATAATAAACGTAAATAATATAATAACAAACGTAAATAATATAATAACAAACGTAAATAATATAATAGCAAACATAAATAATATAATTTTTGAAGGCTTCAGACAGCTGGGGCTTGCCATAGTTATATTCAGGGGAGTATAACTCAAGTGTCAATGTTATACTCTCGTGAGCGGAATTAGACACGTCACCTTTTAATTCTAAAAGAATCTCTTAACAATCCTACAATTGCTTATCCTACCTTTCGTTATCGCCTCCATGTTCCCATTAACATCAATGACATAATAATAAACTGATGCGTATTAGCAATAAATTGCCAACTAGTGATATTACCGTAGTCGTGTATATGCCTAAGCCTCCGTGTTTGTCAATTTTCCGTCGTAATACAGTAATCCATTATATAGATTTAACTACTTAGGTTGATATTAGTAGGTCTTTCTGAAGTTTAGCCTATCACCGTATCAATGATTGTTCTTGTTTAAATCACCTTGTTATTGGAACATGGCGTTCGCTTCTCTGTTTCCGTACTGCAGCACATTCTTAAAATCATAGTAATACTTTATTCACAGACCCTATATACAATTGAAGTAAGTTAAGCCTAAAATTAAAACAATATGGGGTGATACTATAATAATTATGAACACAGTACCGGGCCCGTTGAAGTGATTCGGAGGTACAACCTTGAGATTTAGGTTCAATATACCTACACATTATGAACTCTAATGGCCGCCCACACGAATGTAAATCAATGTAATTTGTTAACTGTGTTAATATTAGTGGAACTAAGAATGAATCATGCGTGGCAATATCAAGTCGATGAAGGTCATTGAATTCACGTCATGATTTTTTTTGTTTCGGAACGAAAAATTATGACAACGATGATGATGATGATGATGATGATGATGAGGAGGAGGAGAAGGATGATAATGATGATGATGATAATGATGATGATGATAATGATTATGATGATGATGATGATGATGATGATGATGATGATGATGATGATGATGAGGAGGAGGAGGAGGAGGAGGAGGAGGATGGTGATGATGATAATTTCAATTTATCAAAAACTCAGGAAAGAAGTAATACATATTACATTAAAATTTCAGAACAATTACATCAAAAGAGCTCAACAAATCCCAAACAACTAAAGTAGAGTATTGAAATTAAGTAGCTTATTAAAATTTGTGAGAAGATACTGTAATTACAATGGTTGGTTGGTTACATTGACGAAGCTGAAAGTGAAGATGAACAATTACATCAAAAGAGATCAACAGACTCTAAACAATTAAAGTAGAGTTTGAAATTAAGTATTAAAAGTTGTTAGATGATACTGTAATCTAATAGATGCAAACTAATAGATAAATAATAACATTGCTCGAATAGAAACATCTTGTAATAGTCGTTTTAAGTAAAGCTCATCAACGAAAAGTTCCTTTATTTAAGTTGTTTGAAAACAGGTGTCTCTGGCGGGATTAGAACCTGCAATCTCTCGCTATCAAAGCGAGTATCCATTAGACCACGGAGGTCTAGGATATAGGCGAAGCTCTAACCACCATGCACTTTCTCTCAAAGGACTGACTGAAACGCTCTCAAATACAAGTAGTGGAGCTGTGCTTAAGCTAGAAAAGCTTGTAGGTCGTAGCTAGTAAATCATAGTAATTAATATACAAAGCAAGTTTGCTGCGTAGCGCCGTAAACGCAACAGTGTATAGACAAATAATAATAATAACAGTGCTCAAATAGTACATTTTGTAATAATCGTATCAAGCATAGCTCTTTAACGAAAAGTTCCTTTATTTCAGTTATGAAAAAGGTGCTTGTTAGTTAGATCTTCGCCTACCTTCTATGTCTCCGTGATGGGTATGATACTCGCCCATAGCGAGAGGTTGCAGGTTCGAATCCTGCCAGAGACTCATATATTTTATATATATATATATATATATATATATATATATATATATATATATATATTGTATATAACAAATATAAATTTAAGTTGAAATGTACCAGTAACACTGGCAGTTTTTATAATTCTAACTTATAGGAACATTATGTTATGTCATAAACAAATAACACGCGGAAATGACGCAACTCGTTGTCGAGTGATACTCTACTACAGTACTCCAATACCAGTGTTGAGAAAGAACGCATTTTCTGTAACTCTAGGTGACCAGCTACGCGTAGGCCCTACTTTTAATTATCCGGAATGCTTTTTATAGATCTTTATTGTTTACGCTAATTAGGCCTAATCTGATATTTTCTATATAAAGCTACGAAAAACAACGAAGACAGCATGTTTACTATTAAAAACATGTTTCTCTAATCAATATAATGGATTTTTAACTTTAAATTAGAATTGTTGTTGAAGCCTTCAAGATTCCTGATTGTTGACCTATTTTCTACTCGAACAACACGTCTGGTTAATGCCCCAAATAAGTAAACATAAACAAACTAGAAATATCTAATTTCGTAATGGTTTACAAAGATAAAAATATAATTATATAGGTTTAAGGTGTATATAAAATGTATTTATATATGATATAACTTACTTTGATTTGAGCTTGTACTTTAACGTTAGAGAGTGCTGTTAACAAGAGACATTATAGTAATGTACCGATTTTTCACAATCCAATGGCTTGCTCGTTTTATGGAACAACCATTGTTTTCGATTTTCTGATTTTTATTTCTTTTGTTCTTTTGTAGAATTGGACATTTTGTATGTCTACTGGTGACCCGCTGCGGCATAGTGCGGCTCCAGAAATAATTTGAATATAAAGTGTTGATTTATCCCCCCAGAACGATTTTTTCACTAACACCACAGTCACATTTAACATTTTTCTAATCGGCGAATTATAATCCATTTTCAAGATGTACCGTAGTGATTATTGCTGTCATCATCCAACATTTTGTCAGGATCAATTGACACATAGAGCAGTAATGTTCATATTCCGTTGGTTACTACGTTTAAGGCCTACAGCTGAATATCAATACGTGGACACACACACGCATAATTATGTTAAATTCAGTCCACGAGACTAACGTTTGTTTCTGACTTCACTCGGAAGTACACGTAGGCAAAAACAGCCCTACTTTTTCAAACGCGGATATCTGTCTATCTTTAAGTCATAGGTTTTCGATATAATCATTCCCTGAACATAGGGCAGTTTTTTCACGATTTTCATATTGCCGCCTCCCACTTTGCTTCTGCAGTTATGTAGGCTATATTCAAGTTTGTAGAAGTTTTGCAGTGCATCGAGAACTAGCGTTGTTCCGCGTATGTGCGAAAGAGCATCAGACTTGAACTCCCAACGAATCCCCAGTGGTCCAGATGCTTAGGCGTGTGCATAGAAAACAGGTCGGGTGCTCGAGTCCCGATTAGGGTATCTTTTTGTTTACAATCGCAGATAGCCCTTTAACTTCCAAAATGAATACGGTAACATACATTATACCACTACCCCAAGACAGTTTAAAGTTTATCTCTTTATTGATCCTGTATATCGATATGGTTGGTATATAGTACGGTAGCAGACGGCAAATGCATGCATCAACACAATCACAAAGGCTTTTAAGCTCAAAAATAATTAGGCTAGGCCTAACTGTATTATAAAAAAAGGTTAATAAAAACATGTTTCAACATTTCCACTGCCATCATCAGTGTCTTGGAATTCCACTCACGGCCTAATCATGTTTATAGCCTATAGGAGTTAACAAAAAGTTAACATAAGCATTTCGACACATTGTCTCATCATCAGTGTACTGAAGTTGCTCACATTCAAGTCTTGTTTACGGAGGAGAAAACAAATGCGATGCATTTCATGATAAGTGAGAGAATTTAAGCGTTTGAAAATATTGCATTAATAAAGAAGAGATAAATTAGAAACAAATGTGAGGCAGAATATGTGAATAAACAACTTCAACGTATAAATTTAACTCATTCGTTCAGATTAATCTACTTATCTTTATTCATGCATTTCTTTATATTGGATCATTTTTTTACTTACATGTTCTGCAGCACATTTGCTTCATATTTATGTGCAATTCTTTCAAATGCTTCATTTCTCGCACGTACCCTAAAACGCATCGAATTTGTTTTCTCCTGTATATAATATTTTAATAATATAAAACTGAACTAGAATATAAGTCTAATACATGTACAGTAATTGATTGTTGACAAAAGTACGGATATTTCCTATTTCCATTTTTTTAAAAACAATTTACGATGATGTCCCAAGCAATGACGACCTATGACGATAGACCTGCCGAAACTCATTTTACTATGTGCTTATTACGTCATTCATGTCACAGCGCAAAAAAGCTATAATATATGACATCTTTTTGTACTACCGATCATATCTTAACTACATCCTGAAAATTAAATGTTTATTATGTTTATTGCGTAACTAAATTTAGACACTATAGAGGGCGTTGATAGTGTGTGTGAGCTAGAGTTCCTATATAGAGAACTCTAGTGTGAGCGAGCTTTTACGCACGTTGTGTGGGCAGCTAAAAGTAACAGGCACGTGAGCATGATTTATAAGTAAAATTATCAAAAAAACACATCCTACTGTTCCATTCCTATAAGTATATGTGGTATACAGATAAATTTCAGTTAACCTGCTGGCTGTCATCGAGGATATTGTAGAGAGTTTGTATATAACTATTGTAATAATTTTTATTTGCACGGTCTGTTAGTACTGTTTATACTTGGATATTCTTGTAGAAAATATGTAAGTACTGTACAAGCTTAATACGTTCTTATTGCTTATTAATTGATCATTCAATTGCTCTTGATACTGTCAACTGTCGATGTTTTATTTATTAAATTTATATCATTATTTATAGAGCTTTTTATAATTATTAAATTTGATATGATGATATTATTATTATTAATTTTATTATTATTATTATTAATAATAAAACTATTATTATTATTATTATTATTATTGTTATTGTTATATTAATACCTTCTCTTATTTTTCTCTAGATCACAATGAACTCTACGAGAGGGAACGTGTCTATATTTTATGTGATAGTAGTACTTGCCGTTTGTGTTGCTCTTGAAGCATATGCCCAACCAATGTCACTCGATCGACATGCGCCAGAATATACAGAGAATCTAAATGAAATTTACGACTTCTTGAATTACTACAAAACCTTGTTAGAAACGCGAGATGCTTACCACAGCAACAGTGAGTTGTATATATGTGTTACATTAGTTAATTTTGTTTATTTAAGAATACCGTACATCCCAAGACAATCAAGTATAACCAACTAAGAAACAAAAAAAAACAAAACAAAACAAAACAAAACAAAACAAAACAAAACAAAATAAAAAAAACTGAATATAACAAACTGTAATGTAATGTAGCACAAGGATCAAATGTATTCATTTAAATGTTTCTTATAATGTCTGGTATTACAGCTTTTTATTAATTATTTTCCTTAATTACCTTTTATTACAGATAATGACCCAATTATTAAATAATATCAGGATTGCCAGAAGCTAATAAATAATAATGATATACAATCAAGATATAACAAACTCTAATGATTACTCAGTAAGCTAATATCAATTCTCATTAACTCTTATAATTACAGTAGGGCCTACAATAAACAATTATTTATACCAAGAGAACGTGCTTACCTTACACACCATCTTATTAGACCTATCTCGATATTAAATAAATTTAATGTGGATATCATAGGATGATGTGGGTCTGTTCTTTGGGGTGCTTAAAGCGCTTGTCCGTGGTTCTCCTGACTAATTAACACTTAAACTCAGAGTACCACTTATATTGTAAGTGTTTGCTCACGATAAAAAAAATCATTTCATAAGACCCATAATGGAAAAAGTCTACAACCATAGTTTGTGTAAAGCATCATATGGATGTTTGCCTTGTGATAGCTCGCTATTGGTAATATTCATGTTCTTAAATGCATGAAAATCAAAATCAAGATTTAGTGACGTCTTAAAAAACAAAGATTCAGTCTGTCACTGTACTCAAGAACACTTTCCGTTTGGACAAATATATAGTTTGCTTCCTAATATTTTATACTTAAACATAAACTTACTGAAGACTGCTTGATTACCTTTTCCTTCCTAGTAATATTATATAATTGTTGACATTATATTAATTAAGTACTATAAAAAGTAATCTAATCGTGATCATTAGTAATGGAAGAACAGTATGTTTTTATTGAATAAGTAAAAAAAACTAATAATATAATAATAATGGACCTATAATATAACGTTAATATAATAAATATTATTATCATCATGTTAATAATCGTACAGTAATATCAACATTGTTCTTATAAAGCATTGCCATTATTAAGTTAATTATTATCGTTTATTAATATTGTTTTTGTTGTTATGGTTGTTGATATTATTTTATTATTATTATTATTATTATTATTATTATTATTATTATTATTATCATCATAATCATTATTATCATAATCATTATTATATCAATTTCATTTATAGATTTTGATGGAAACCGTTTAGATCACATGGCCTTAAAACGAGGAAGTAACTCAAGACCGGTGGGTACATTAGGCCTATTAGAATTATTACGACACGAAATGGAAGAGGTTAATACCAGAGATAGAGTTTCAGATCAAAGAGACGAAATGGATAGAGTTGGTCGTTGAAGGAATTGACATTCAGTAAAGTAAGTGTCGCTTTCCAATCAGATTTACTAGTTTAAACGCTTTCGCAGGTTATTCTTAGTGTATTTCACGGCGAATAAATCCAATCGAATCCAATCCATATAGCGTATTTAAAGATGCAAGGCGCCTGATAGTTCTTATTACTTGTTTGTAGTGACAGGCAGACTATTGTGTCTCCTGCATTAATATTGAAACTCAAGCTTTCATACGCATTTTTTGCAAGAAAGCTTTCGCCTGAATAAATTCACACACCGGTCCCTAAAGTGTTGCCTGTCTTATCATTATTTGTTATCAACAGACTGGTTCGCCTACTCATCCTTTATTGGTTGGGATTCTGGAGTGATTTATTTTTCCGTAATTTAATTTAATAGTATGTCTTGTGTTGTATTAACACAGGCGGGTCTGTTTAATTAGAATTTGAAAAAAAAAAAAAAAAAAAAAAAAAAACACCTGTGCTTGTAATCTGAAACTCAACGGAAGAGCCAACGCTTAACCTCAGTTCAGGTTGCTTTCCTTTGGATAACTTGCTCCCTGTCCCCTCCATTTTAAACCAGATTATGATGACCAGTTTCTGGCGTACCTAAAAGTCCTGAATTTTGGAGGGCGGGGGAAATGAGACGTGGGGGAGCTCGATAATTTAGTGAGGAACTAGCTCGCAAAATAAGGCGATATGCTGTGATTTTTACGTGATTGTTTTGTTTCGAACATTTTCAATGGGGAGGGGGAGACTGTTTGAGAAATGTTATCCCCTCTTTGCGCACACGCTCACACCACTGAGAAGTTTGTGTTCGCATTTCCAAATAGCTACTTATGTATTTTCTTTTACCGCACTGAGGTCTACTATAGTCTTAAGAATTTGCTGCCAGCTTCGAGCGTCCCTCTTCAATTTACATCCAGCGGTGGCTCTTTGATAATATCCCAAATTAGTTTGTTGGGTCGGACGCGTCCTACCCGACGCGGATTAGAGCTTAGTCTGTTCTGTTGAGGGAAGGTGGCTTAACACCCACTCCCCCAGTCCCATGACGCCACCATAGTTGACCTTGCAAGGTTAAAACTCAATATACATACATATCACCTCTCATATAGACCCTATTTACTATCCTCACTGTTTGCAATATGTTTAATAAATAACTCGCCCGGCGCAGGCCCAATGGCCATAGATTTTTCTGATCCCCATAAAATAGAGTTTTAAACGTGGATAACATACTGATATGCCTTTGTTTTTTTGTTTTTTTCCCCATAGGTGAGCTTGAAGCAGGAAGCATGGTGCGAACATTCGAGGTTTGCAACACAAAACAGAGGCTGACTAATAAACCGTTTCATAAAATACAACAATTTTTAATATATTTATTTAAAGAGAAAAGAAATGTATGATCTATTGTATTTAAGAATCTTTGTCGCAATTATACTTATTCTCTGTAATAAAAACGGTGCTTAATGTTTTGATATACAAGACATGAAATATAGGCCAATTCTGTTCTGTATGGTATTAAATATTTTCTATACATTAGTCCTGTTGTTATTCATGAGGTGTAGGCATCGCTTAAATCTTATAATGTATTTTCCGAAGACATCGTTCCAATTTTGCAAAAGATGATGTTCAGATGAAGTGCATTTTTTTAATGCTCATGTATGTTTAGAGATTTTTTTTTCTCTTTAGTGGGGATTAAACCCACTTTTATTTCTTTTTTTCTCTTTGATTTTCATAAATCATGTCATAAAATATCTGTTTTATATATTTACAACAAGCTTAAAAATGCAAAGGCTCATATGTATATCATGTGTATGCATATGCGCCTTTTCATTTTTAAGCTTATGTATGTTTAGAGATGGCATGTATCATCTTTGCTCCATCTTCGATTTTTGTGACTTATTGACGGGTACGCGCAACTAAGCATTTAGTAACCACCTTAAAAATTTGCACAATAATTCAAAATATTTATTTACTTAGGAATAGCAACAATACTGAAGTTATAAAAAGTGCTGTATGAGAATTAGTGTTGTATTGTTCGTTTTGCAAGTGAGCTTCTACTTGTAAGTTTGTAATTATGCCTATGTTGGACTTGTGCAATGGAAATTTAAATTATTAAAGGTATTTTTGCTTCACATATAAACAACGAATGCTTAGATACTTGCCATTTATTATCGTTTCCACATAATGTGCAAGTGTTATGGTATAGCCTGGTATAGCCAATTAACACGAACAACAGAATTTGTATGATTATACTTAGGCAATTGCACTTCTGGTAACATTCCAAGAATAAAGATGTGCTCAAGAAACATTTGTCTGTATTTGTTACTTTCCCAATTGCATTCCATAGAGTTTTACAATTGGAGTAGCCTATGCCTATTGTTATTAATTTTGTTGGCTATTCATTATTACAAACAACACGTATAGCAGACAGTATGAGCAGATGAAGACAGCTGATTCAAGATTAGGTCTTGACTAACGAAGCTGAACGCATTAGAAACAAACCTTGATAAATAATAGACTTTTTGGCGACTAAAATGTCAATATTTAATCCACATTATTATAACTTAAGGACCGTAATTATGCAGAAGTCGTTTCATTGAACTAAAAATTACCGTTAACCTTTCTTATATCGTCCCTTCACAGTGGCAATTTTCACAAACATTTTTTTATATTACACATATACGTCATCAGTTACCAACACTTTAGGCCAATTAATCAACCTGTTTTACTAATAGCGACAGATGACGTAGAAGATTTCATAAAAATCACGTTGTGCATGTACAGTATATGTAATTTATCTACCTTTATAGATGTTAACGCCACACCGATCGAATGACAATGATAACAATAACACTACACCAAAGAAATCGAAGTGTTAACAGCACAACAAAAGAACGTCAAATACCACATCGAACAAACGACTCTTGAGAAATACATACATACATACCTATATATAT